ATCGAATCTTATTGGCTCAAGGGACATCGCTGACATACGTTTGTTTCCCTAAATTTTTGTACATAGAACACTAAAAGACTTTTGCCGTTGCACCTTTCTTGTCGTGTTCTCTCTTCGGGGACTCATACAGGACGTCATTGGGCGGCAATATCTAGGCCTGGGCATCCGTTACAACACAAACCACTGCGCTTTAGCCCGCTTTCGATGGCCTCATCTCTGTCTTGCTGCCGAGCCCAGGCGGTTGAGGGAGGAGAAAGTGTGGTAGATGCAGCGCAAGTGGACAGTTCGACCGTTCACATTCGCGAAAGTGTAATTGCCTGTGCTGCCATGAGTGGATGTTCCAGACAGCAATGGATTAGTGGATAAGTAGGTTAGCAAACTCACGAACGGAAGTGAGGTCATGCATATGAGAGTAACCTGTATGCTTAAGCCGAACAACAAGACTGGGTCACGGAGATTAGTCTACTGGATACGAGGAAATCAACAGAAGCAACACATTAAAATCCGCGAGACCGCTTGGTCTCCACTAGGGAATTCACAGGTAGACGCATAACTCCGACTAATGTTGAAAACCTCAAGCATGAGCTTTAGGGTCAGTCTTCACAACCATGTGCCCGATACGAGTTCTCAACTCCGGTAATTCAAACAAAAAATGGAATAGCTCACTTCAACCACGGCGATCATATGAATATCTTTTAATTAAAGTTCTTACCGGGTGGTTGACCGAACTGATGCCGACGACGTCAAATTTGAGCCTTTTGTCGGTTTTGAGGGAATGTAGTCTGGATAAAAATAAAAAAAAGAAGAGAGGAAAAACACCACTTGAGCCGCACAGAAACGACTGCATACCAAGGTGGACTGGTGGGGGGGGAGCACCATCATTCAATGTGACGTTGGAAATGCGCAGTAGGCAATTAGGAAAGCGGATTTTTAATAGGAAACAGGTCGAAACCACGAAAGAGTGATGCAGTGGAAACTGATTAGCAACGAATGCGATGCTGTCTCATGGAATGTACCTTCAGAGAATACTGCTTGAGCGACCCTTAAAAATCAGCAGGCGCGGCTCTGTAGGTCTATATGTGGTGGTCATTCCAACTGTTTACTCCTAGAACGGAGTCAAGACGCAAAAGCCGGATGCCAAAACGAAAAGAAACCGTCCAATCACCAGTAATGAAAGCGTCGACTTGTAAAATAAGTAACGCTCTATGTGAAGAGCTGCAGTGTGCAAGCCTACCAACGGTGCTGGTGGGATTTTCAGCCTTTATGGGGGGTACACTTGATTACCCCTGATACATACAGTTACAAATTAAAAATTAAATTGTGTGAATCAGTGGGATAACCGTTAACCACAGCCCCGCTCCGCAAGGTTTAACTACCAATGATTAATCCGGCCCAAAAGTTAAATAAGATAATTTGAAGCGTCCCAGTATACACAAGACTAGATTGGTGTGCACGCACCGCGATAATGGGGGTTTTATCAGTAAAAGCGTTATCAGTATTATCCCTTTCGTGGTTTTCTGCTCACAAATCAGGGTTTGTAGGAGAGATGCAAATGTACCGCGCTTATAATCAACTTGTGAATCAAAGAGAAGAAGTTATAATTAATTAGGACTTCCATTCCAGAAAAGTTTGTTGAAACAAGAGGTTCATGTGAACCCGGCACAACTTTCAATTACGTGCTAGGTTAAGCCAAAAAAAGGTGCAAGCCAGAAAGAGAACTTGCTGGATGACGCGAAAGTAGATAAAATGACTTCATCAATACTGCATAGACCTCGGAGACGTAATAGGACTGTTTGATCAGACACCAATAACAAGTACTGAAAGCATCCTCGGTAAGCACAAACAAGCTCACTGTATGGACATCACAGCGTCTCGATTATCGAAGGCAATATTTTGGACAAAGATCCGTATGTACTAGGACTCGCAACCTACTTTTGCGAATTACGTTGACAGGTACAATAATTGTGACGGGTTGGGACAACTATTCGAATTGCAGGTGTCCCAGGCACAACGGGACGATCCCGTGGAATTCTAAATGAGATTGGTACACAGAACCACTATAGATCTGGTACAGCAAAGAAACTTCAGGCGTCTCAGAAATCGCATTCGTGTTATTTAATTAACTGTAGTTCGGTATAGAAAGGCACGACTGCGGAATTTATTACAGATGAACTCTACAACTGGGGGAGGGGGACAATGAACTTCCAAATAACGGAAAGACGCAGTCATACCGCGACTGTGTCTATATCACAAAGAACAAGCTGCCTTATTCTGTGATGTGTGTTAAATTGAGACATTGGCAGTCTCTTGAGCCCCATCGTGGGATGAAATGACAAACCTGATGTCTGGAGAAGCTAATGAATCGAACTTTCAAGATCCGCTACAGCGGATGTTCACGTGTAAAGGTGCATTCTGAAGCATCATCGAGGTCAGTTGGGTTAGGTATAACTGCTGCCGTATCAAGTAAAAATACGAGCACAAGACGGCTCAGTTGTGTCAGCCGGCAAGAAAAAAATATATGTTTAAGAATAATCAACGAACCGTTCGCGCATTTGATGAAGCGCTGCTTCTGTAAGTTCGCTTGATATCACACTGATGTTGACACCGGCTTTCTCAAATACCGCACCATCTTGTAGAACGCAGGAGATTCCACCACCATGACCCTATCACATAGAGAATTAAAAAGAAATTTTCAGGAAGGCAACAAATTTCGGGAACATCGGAAACTAAAATATTTTATCCGCGCGAACAATCGACAGCAAGGCAGTTTGCAGTTAACATTCACGTGAAACAAGGATACGTGGATTTTATCTATGCCCCTCTGCAGAAAGGGGTTTGAAACTAATAAAACCGAACTAATTAACCAGGTTGCCTATCGTAATTGGTTCCAGGATGAGCATAAACATATTAACACGACCTGGTGATAATGAAACTAGTTCTACCTACACCCTTACTAATGCAAGTATAAGCAGGACGACAGTAACATCCGTTTCTATCAAGGCAAGGCTGTGCCAGATAAGAATACATAATGCGTGAAAAAAGAAACGGTTGATATGGGTTTTAACTGATTAAAAATAATGACTAACATCTTTGCGCTCCCACTTGTCGACAAAGAATTTCTTCTTTTGGTCGATTGCCTCCATGTGGTGACAGAGATGGGCCTGTGGAAATTAAAGCATAAGACAGTAAAGGGCAAAAAATGGGAACTGACAAATTTAGGGACCAACGGTAAAAACTGTACCACACCTGTAGCTCCATGCAAAGAATCTCCATTTTTGATCGAATGTCGGTAGATGCGGACTAAAAATGACTAGACAAATACTAAACAAACCAGTTGGCTTGCTGGTGTAATGGAGGAAGCCATCCAGTTCGAGGGACTGCATCCAGTGAGGCCATTAATGAACGTCGCATCGTCCAAATCATTGCCCTAAGAATACCCTGAAAGTGTGGGGATTTTACTTCTGCAAAGTGCCGGTACAGCCGATACCCAGCGTATATGCTAAATTTTGTCAAATAAATCGAGAAAAATTACGACAGCGCTCCTAGAAGAGGTCCACTGATATATTTTTGATACGCCGCCATCGGCCGCGGAAAAACACGTGTTCTGAAAAGTTTTGATTTACCTCGTCTTTGGCTTTCATTTTTGCTTCCATTGGTTGTTCGGTACCTCAAGGTTAGCAAGGATGACAATTTATATTCCAGTAACTGAGCCAAAGCGAATATGTGTGATCGGAAGGTACTTCAATAGAAACCACGTAAGCAGATTTGACCGAATAAGCGTC